ACCTGTTACTACTAGCGATGCACTTGTTCCTAGTAGCTTATTGTTTCCACTAGCCTCTTGTTCCTAGTAGTAAGGCACCTGTTACTACTAGCGATGCACTTGTTCCTAGTAGCTTATTGTTACTACTAGCGATGCACTTGTTCCTAGTAGCTTATTGTTTCTACTAGCTTCTTGTTCCTAGTAGTCAGGCACTTGTTACTAGTAGCGATGCACTTGTTACTAGTAGCGCCTATTTTCCCTGTGGGTGAATCCCTTTCTTGAACATGTTCTTTTTCTTTCCGGATTGGACAGCAAATCCAAGCATGGCTCCATGCCATGACTCCGTACTGCTGCGCCCTTGGCGAATCTTGGTGACCAACAGGTGCGCAGCATGGGTTCGATGGATTGCCGGTCGTGGGATGGATCGCCGGTGTTCGGTCGTGTGAGGAATCGCTGCCATCGAATGCATAAAAACGGCATTCCAACCTGATGATGAGCTGCTTGGCCGTTGAGCCTTTGACGTTCGGCACCATGCACAGCCCATCCTTCCGCCATCCTTCCTTCTGTTTCATCAAGGTGGTGTTTTGAAAGGGGCTTTGCCTCCATGTTGGGTGTTTGTCTTCAGTTCCGGAACGAGCATCTCAACGCCTGGTTTTCGTCGTTCCGGTGGGCTGGAGATGCCGTCGATCATCGGGCGAAGATGGCCCAATGGGTAGACTGATCATGACTGATCTATGTCCCTTCTTGGTCTTCTGAACGGAAAAACCATGTCCTTGCATGTCGGCAGGTTTCCCTATTTGAGCTACAGCTCAGCTACACACCCATGTATCAATTGTACTGTTACTATATAATATGTCATTATATAGCTCTTCTTTCCCCATTGGCATGCCACTTCTCCCAACTTCCCCTCACGGTGGCCATTCCTACGAGCGCAGCTTGGCGCTCAGCTTGGCGGGCGCCTTCGCCGAAGCCCTGGGCGCAGCGCACTTCACGGAGCACGGAACTGAGGAGGCGGTGGAGGCGACGAAGGAAATCCATGCAACGGTTTGGAAGGTCTTCAATTCATTTATAAAAATTATCTGATCTGTTGTATCATATCGACATAGCACTTCAAATTGAAGTCAGTCACCCAGAGGCTCCTTTATGCTACAAACCACCTTCGAGATGTCAAGCTCATTGGTGACAGGTTACACCCAATCTTCAATCAATCCCGTAGTCTTTTTTGTCAGGAGTTTTCTGAGTATCTTTTGGAGCCACCAGATGCGGAATCAGTTTTACTCAGCCGGCCTGCGGGCGATCCTTTCGATCGAAGGCCTTGGAATATTTGGGGCCTCAGAATCCCGCAGCGCTGCGATGCATCATCGCTGGCCTGAACGCTAAGAGCCAGTCTTTTGGCAGAAGAATCGTGGGTAGTTCTTCACTTTTGAGGGTTCAAGAGTGCCCCGAGCCGCAAATAGATTATATGTTCGAAGACTTTTGAACATTTCCCACTGGAAAGGGACAGTAACAATGAAGAAGGAATGAATCAAATAGTATTATACTATTCCAACAATTGTCTTCAACCCGGCCGATGACTTTGAAATCATGATTTCTCCACGCATGTGTTTTAATCATGTTTTGTTTACAAGTGAGGAAAATCTTTGGCTCATCCGGTGGGATGATCAGCACCTCAGCGTGTCGTCCTTTCAGTCCGGAGATTTTGATGTCGTCCAAAGAGGGTCTTCAAAACGGCGGCCGCGGCCGTCCACCGTTTTGCAGTTTGCCATGTGAAACTGGCGATCATCGGTCCCTGACAGATTCATGATAGATCATTGTTTGTGTATTCGTGTATAAATATATATATATATTTGTAAGTTTTTGCGGACTGTTAAATACAATCAATTTGTTGAAAATACCGTATCCGTTTCTCCTAAGGTCCTAGACGCCGTTTCTCCTAAGGTCCAAGACGAGGTTTGAACCTTAACCCCAATCCCTACTGTAGCCCTGGTCTTGATCGATTCGTACCTAGTAGTAAGGCACTTGTTTCTACTAGCTTCTTGTTACTACTAGTAAGGCACTTGTTACTACTAGCGATGCACTTGTTACTACAAGCCTCTTTGGTGTCTTTGCCCAACAGGATGCTGGATGAGTTCCTCATGCTCCGACGACGCAGGATGAAGAAGAAGCGCGCTCCGGTGGAGGCGTGGCCGGCAGTCTTGGATGGTTTGGTTGGCCAAACGTTGCCGAGTCATGACAGCGTGAATACGATGAGTTGAGTCTCATTCCCTGTAACAGTCGGTAAACAATTATCACTAGTTTAGAGAAAAAGGCCTGGAGCCTAACCATCCCTGGTAGTGGTATACGCCCAAACAAAGATGATTTTGGTCCTCTCAGGGTGTTTTTTAGGTCCACTTATTTGAGACGTGACTGAGACCCAAAACTGCTAGGTTTGGGCGTCTTGGAGAGATTAGATTCATGGCATGGATCATGTCAAACTGTTCGAACAGGCCAGGTCTTTAGCTCACAAAGAATGAGTTTTTTCCTACTTGGATTTCATTGTTTTGCTTGACGCATGTGAGGAGGAAGAGGTTGACACTGACAAGAATGACGCAGAGAAGGAGATGCGCAACTAGGAGTTAGGATAGATCGCCAATCTTGATTGTCCTTGTTTGTATCAAACGGTAGTCGCAGTAGCAGTAGTAGTAGCAGTAAGTTCAGTGGTGGTGGTTGTAGCACGTGGGAGTAGTTGTTGCTGTTTTAGTAGTAATTAATTAGCAGGAGGAGCAGCAGCAGCAGCAGCAGTAGTAGTAGCAGTAGCAGTTGTAGTTGTAGCGGTGGTGGTGGTAGTAGTAGGAGGTGGTAGGAGTAGGAGTAGGAGTAGGAGTAGGAGTAGTAATATTACATATAATAGTGGATAGCAATGGTAGTGATACTGTAGGAGTAGTAGTAGTAGTAGTAGTAGTAGTAGTAGTAGAAGTAGTCGTCGTCGTCATCGTCGTGGTAGTGGTAGTGGTAGTGGTAGTGGTAGTGGTAGTGGTAGTGGTAGTAGTCGCAGTAGTAGTAGTAGTAGTTGTTGTTGTTGTTGTAGTTGTTGTAGTAGTAGTTGTAGTAGTTGTAGTAGTAGTTGTAGTTGTTGTTGTTGGTAGATAGTAGGTATCAAGCTTAAGAGACAAGTGTTATTGTTTCTAGTGCAAAGGAAGGTGTTGTGTTTGTCGTTGGCCAATGACTTAGCCTGAAGGACATTAACAACGTTCTTGTGCGTGACACGTATCGCAGGACGTTTTCAACGGTGCTCAGAGTGGATGGTCTTTGTGGTTCTTTTTCTCTTGCGACCCTAGCGAATGGTTCGTCAATGACATTTCAAGCTGACAATTCAATACCCAGAGTTGCGTTCACCGTGCTCTCCGGTCAGTCCAAAAACCATCAACAACCACTCCGCTGTTCATGGTTGTGAAGTATCAGACCTTGGGAAATACATCAGAAGAAGAAGAAGCAAGTCCGAACGTCTCCAGGGTGGACGAAACATGCGGAGTTGAAGCAATCGGTTTGAAGCAATCGGGCCTGCAGGGTTGGTTCCAATGGAGCCTTTCTTGGAACCGGGACTGTCTGTGAGCCAACTCAGCTGTTGAGTTCGTCTTACTGTATCTTCTAAGGCCAGCGCTGCTTGGAGATCTTCAAGCAGATTGAAGCAAAACTTTCTGCTGCAGAGGCATCTGCACCGGCAAAGCAGTGATGGGAGACGGTAGTGGAACAGTGCTCAGTCGAGTGATGTTTAATGTTTGATGTGATCTCTATATTGGGGGAGCGGTGGAGTTTCACTGATGGGACCGGGGAAGAGGTGTTTTCATGATATATGATATATCATATATCCTTCATATTTCAATATGTTCGGAGGGAAGTAGATGACTTGTAGGGCCCCCGGTTCTTGCGACAAGTTCCAAACGACACTGAAAGAAAGGCTGCTGGATGTCTACTGAACCAATTGCCTATCCCTTTTTGGCCGAGACTGTCCCACACAACAAGAAGCTACTAGGGGCTCCTGGCCTTACTACTAGGAGCAAGGACGCTGCTAGGGGCTCCTGGCATCGCTACTAGGTGCAAGGACGCTAAGGCATTCCTTGTCACAGTCCCTTTTCTCATTTTTTCTCCCATACCGAGAGAAAGACCGATGTCGAAAAACCTGGACCTGCGATCGACGAAGAGCGCTCTACGACGGGCTGACGGGCTCCGACCAAATTGATCGAACATGCATGAGAGAACTGCAGCCCGAAGTCTGGCACAAGACGAAACCAGGTCGGAAGGTCTCAGCTGAAGCTGAAACCAGGTGTCTCGTTCTTGTGTGTGCATTCACATGCAGCCAAGAACAGTGCCTTAAAATTGTGTGGTGTTGTGCTCTTGAAACCGAGAGCGCCCAAACATATTTGTTGCTTGCTGAGTCTTTGTTTGACGAAGGTGATCGACACCCTCTTGAAGGAGATTCTTCTGGCAACACATAATCCAGTTGGAGGAACTCCAAGCAGTGGTGTGCAACAAGAAGCTTTGCTGTGCATTTATTGGTTGGACAGTTGGTACATGTTGGCACTGACATGGAAGCGGTTGACAAGGAATCTCGCTTAGTCTCGTCGTCTCTCCGAGTCTCGGTTTCGCTCGGTTTCACTCGCTTCGGGTTCGGCGAACTCAGTCTGGGTTGACCCGCCGAATGCGCGACGGTGAGCCGCACGCGCAGCGTGGGTTCCGGAAGGTGGAATTCAGATGAGTCGTGGAACTCGCATGAGTCGTGGCTGTGGGTTGACCTCCCCAGGCGAGGTTGACCATACTTAGTCTATCCTGTTATATTCTGTTTCTCCGTGGTCAACCAGGCTCCCCAGTTTTGACCCAAAGCCAAATGAATACACTTTCCCTCATGGCCCTTTCATTTCACATGAAGGAAGCCGTCATGGCCTTCATGGTTGCCAGCAAGAGAGATGAAGATTATGCGACCTGTCGAATGGTGAGCTGAGAAGGGAGTGGCTATTGGGAGGAGTCAGAGGAGTCTTTGTTTGATTTCTTGGGCAGTTTACTTTCACTTATCGACCTGCTTTGTCGGCTAAAGGCTATATTCGATTGTGCACTGGAATATTGGAACCGAATAGAACCATCGGCAGTTGGTGGACAAATCACGGTTTGTGAGAAGAAGATCCAGCACATGTTCTCTAGACCAATATTCACATATCCTCACCAAAGTATCTATAGTTGTGAATCGTGAACATCCACAGAACCATTTTACCATATGTTGCATTATTTTTTCCATATTTACATAACATCCACAGTTTCCTTTTCATCCTCAACCGGTCACCCTTCGATCTCCTTCGGTCTCTTTGCACGACCAAGGCCATGGCTCGGATTCGGGAGCGCTTGAATCCTGAGGCCCCAGAGGCGCTTCTCGATTGGCACAGTTGAACAACCTGGACTGATTCCCAGACTTTGGGTGTTCAGACTGGGTGTTCAGGGAGCCGAGACTGGGGCCCAGACTGGGAACACTCTGGCTCCAGACTTTGATACTGTAGATCTCCCAGTCGTTTTTCAATCGACTGAGGCATCACCATAGTCACCCTGGGTTTGGGGGAACCGAGCAATTAATTCTAGGAGATGGCTCCGCACTTTTACTTTTCTGATCGAGCAACAATGTTCATTTCTGAACGTCGTGGGCGCAGGGCGCAGATAGATCCTCAAAACTAAAGCTCAGCAGGACGTCTTCCCAAGTCGTTGGCGAACGAGTTTCATTTGCACATAAAGAGTCAGGTATGAACGAGGCAATCCAGATGTCCTGAACCAAAAATACGAGAGCATTTGTAGAATCTGTCTACCGTCTACCACCCTCCATCAGTTCTCGTTGGATCCTGTGGGGCCTCACCTGATGACACGCCGTGTGTTTTTGTGTGTTTTGTGTTCTTCGGTTTTGAAGCTTTTCGGGTGCCATATACAATCCTTGGACCAAGGTTTGGAGAGCAGCTTCAACAGATCAAAGCGCGCTGTGCCTTCTTATCAATCGCTGTGGCTTCAAAGGATGATGAGAAGCTGCTCGAAGCTGGGCAAAGAACGCGCGGATGGAGTCAAGAATGGGCCAGCGCGTTCTTGGGTGATAAAGATATCCAAAGATGTCTGAGGATCCTTCTTGTTGATCACTGTTGATGACCGAAAATCGATGGAATTTGATGGAAATCGATGAATCGCAGGGGAAATGAGGGGAAACCGGGAAAAGGATGAAAACGATAAATCTGCAGGTCCGCCAGAACATGGGCTTACTGACTTCTCCTTTTGTCAGGCTCTTTGTCTGTTGAATCAGTTTGGCCAGATGTTATGATGTTCTGAAAGTTTCTTTGTGGTCTCCAGTCCAGAAAGCAGGTTCAATCGGCGGCATGAAGTTCCTTTTTAGTGCCCGCAGCTCCTTGCTATCAGGAACAGAGGGAGAGGAGGACAATCAGATCATACACTCCGTTGGCTTTTAGCCGGGTCAACCAGCAGGGCCACGGCATGGAACATGATTTCATGCAGTTTTATATATTAGGTCTTGCATGGGTAGCAGGGCACCTACTGGTCTGTTGTTCAATGGGGAGGCTGAATTAGGTGCTGTTTCAATCTTTTTCATGCAGTGGCCTGAAGAACTGCTCAGTCCGCGAGCGATCTAGCTGACAATCAGGAGCAATCTTCTCCCTATCCCGCTCGCTCTCTCTCTCTCTCTCTTCTTCTTTTAGGTTGGAGGCCATCGCTAGTAGGTTGGAGGCCATCTCTCTCTCTCTCTTTTTTTCTCATGTTGCACTTGCAGACTGAAAGCAAGATCTCAAGCCACTGAACACTCCAAAATTGGAAATACATGTGTGGTTGTAGTGCGAAGATCCTTGCAACATATTCGGTCAGGTTCTTGTCGTGAGGTGATGTTTCTATCCATTCCCAGATGCGAGCCGGACTGGGTTTGAGTATGTAGAGAATCATGTGGGGATTGAACATCGTTGGCTCCCAAACGAGGGACCCCTGGATCGTTGGCATGTTTGGTCCTTCACAGGAAGCTTTTCACGGCTGTTTGAACGATGATCAGCTACGTGGGTCAGATCCTCAGAGCAGAGACTACGAGTGTACAGAGACATGTGCAGATGACTTGGATCCGGGAAGAGCTGTGCTTGTGATGTTCGCTTGGGATGACATTTGTTTCCTGTCTTATTTTGTAGTTACAGCATCTCTCATGCTGGTCTTCCTCAACAGTGGGAGAGAGAGAGAGAGAGAAAGAACCATCAGTGTTCAGTGACTTGTTCCCTGATGCTTCTGACATCGGACGACCCGTCCGTTCGACTCGTAGACATCCGTGGCGCCACATCGGTTCGACTCGCTACACGGGTCGGCTTCGGGTCTGTCGAAGCTCCAGCCCTTGCAAGGCCAGAGCTGCAGGCTGTGGCCGAGTCTTGGAGAATTCAGGAATGGACTAGACTTATAGTCTTATTATAGTTGTTCCCAAATAGATTTTAAAACGGTTTCCAATACATTTCTGGTGGGGATCTACTTTTCTTTTTGGGGGTCAGAGTCTATATACTGAAACACGGCCTGTCTTGTGGCTGCAAATAGGGGTCGCGTACATGTTTTTGGCTGCGGCCGAGGTACCATTCAGGATCACAGTCAACAACAAAAAGGGAGAGCACGGAGCATAAACTAATCCAGGTTATATTTGTGAAGAGAAGCAAACTCAGACTCACAATCAGGGGGATTTGCCGTAATGGCCTGTGCGCTGAGAACGTCTTTGCCTGAGGAGTGCTTTTCGGAGCTCTCCAGCGGGCCCAATCCTTTCGTGCCAAGCCGAGCATGTTTACAGCCAACAAGCGGCAATTGTATTAGATCGTATGACTTGCCAAGGCTTTATGTTTGGTAGCAATATGTATATAACCGTGTTTAGTTTAAAAGCTAAGCTTGTGCCTTCGAGTCTTGTTTCAGGTGCAGTCACTCTTGCAGCAACTCGTTCTGTGGGATACCAAAAAGGCGGAGGTGATTCGAGTCATCATGAAGATTGCGCCCAAGGATCGCGACGATCACGACGATCAGCGCATCGCGACTATCATTGGAGTTGCTCATATATAGGCCAAATAGTTTTCCAGTTCACCGTTTTCATGAACACTTGATATATGCAAGTTGAACTGGCAAAGTGAACTTTGTCCAGTTCATATTATAAGTCAAGTTCGATGTTTCTCAAGTTGAATTCTGAAACGTCGATCCCGCCAGGATGATAGTCGTGTGATCGAGGCCATGCAGCGGTGCCTCGACGCATCTTGCGTCGGACGCACCACGATCGGGGCGAACTTGACCTGCCAGGAGTTTGAAGTAAACCACGCCGAAGTCAAGTGGGTGTCAAATTCCTTCAAACTATGCCAGGTTGAACCTGGAAATGGAGCCTAAGGGGTTGAATTTCCACCACTGCGTTACTCGGATTGATGCAATATGATACAATGAACGGCACCGTTTGCAAAACATGCTGCGAAGGCAGGCATGTTTTTTTACCGCGGGTCTTTTCTGGAGGGGAACACATCACCAGCTTAGTAGTGTTTGTGGGCCATAGAAAGACCATGGCCTGTCGTTCATGGCCTTTCCAGGCTTCTTTTTTGGTATCAAGCTGCAGGAAGCAGCCATGAGCAGCCAATGGTTTGCGACAGGGAGAGTATTGGAATCCGTATATAAGACTTGAGTAGCTCCGCCTAAAGGCATCACTCGTACTATATATATAACATTATCGCACTTAGAGAAAATAGTCACTAAGCTTTCTGAACGAATCACCAAGACACGGCCTTGTGGAATGACTGCGCTTTTTGACCCCTTCACTGTTCGCTCCTGGTCAGGTTTGGTCGCTTCGGTGGGGTTTCCCCACCCCTTCCACAGGTATTGCCGCGAAGCCGAGCGCATTATCCTGGACGAGGGTCCAGTGGCTCGGCGAGCGGGACCGGGACCCCGCGCTTGGCGACGTGGCCGAAGACGTGGACGAAGCCTCCGGAGGTGGGAGTTAAAAGCCCACTCCCCCCCCTCCCTACTTGATTAAGTAGGCGCCTACTTAACTAAGGGAGTAAGCTAGCTAGCTACTTAAGCTACTAGTATGGACGCAGGATAGTTCACGCTTCTTCCAGGCAGCTAACCTCGCCTGAGGACAGGGGGGAGCTTCCTTGAAGAAGCGCTCGCACTAATCATTTGGTTCCTAGATTTGGGGGGAAACTGATTAGGGAAGCACACAAAACGCTGACTCAGCTGACCAAATGCACCCATCATGGGAAGGGGCTCGGGTGTGAGAATGATGGTGAATGGAAATATATGAAGGCTGATTCTAATGCTACAATATTGTCACCATGACGGGACATGGTTTTTACCAGCAAAGATACTCAATGCTAGGAGATACCTGTTTACTACCACTAATTAGTCAGAATGTGTCAAAAGTAATTATGTAACCCTTTGATTGCTTTTGGATCCGAGTGATTCTACCCCTATTTGAAAACTCCTTCGCATGTTCCTCTCGTTGCAACTGTATGTCTTGGTGGCTCAAAGACCGGGGTCAACACACACCCCACCCAGAAAGAATTGGGCTCCGGATGTCACAGGATGTCACAGCGAAATGCTGAGCCCAACATGTTGCTCTATGATTTGAACAATCTTAGTTATTTGATGTTATTTGCTTTAAATGTGTAAGGTTGAAGTATACACCAACCAATTGTTTTGAGTTCTGGTGTCGATTGTTGCTTTATTTTCAGGCATAGAGAAGGCGTCCCGGCGCATGTCTCAGGGTATCTTGAAGATGGCAGCAGAATGCTTGAACCACGTTGTCACAGACAAGTCCATCTATGAGAGACCCGCCGAAAACACCAGATGGGGAACGCCTGTTGTGGTGCTGGGCTCAAGCATTTCAACTACATGTAAGGAGGGAATCACTGAATTGGCTATCTTTGAGGATGTGTTTTGCAGATTGCTGCGCACCACAGCTAGTTGAGTGTTGATAATGGCTTTGGCTTTATGCTCGCTCATTACAGGTCGCCTGAGGGCATTGTTTGTGGCGTCTCAAACTGTGTAAATCCCCTGTTGGTCGATGTTCTTTTCTACCAGGTAGGTGTGGTGAACTCATTTTGAGATCCAGGGATACCATCAGTGGCAAGTCCAGTCTCCCCAGTCATTGATCAGGAAAGGAATCACCCCTGCAATTGATGCGCTCATTCGAAAATGCACTCGTGACTCGGTTGCAGCGAGCCCAGCGAAAGCAAAGAACCAATAACTGCGCTACCAGGGTAATTACCCGGTGTCGTCGTAGACGATTGATGAACAAGGAACAGTTTGTGCAAGGGAGTCCTTTTAGGATCTTTTAGGCATTAATGATGCATGTTGAGGTGAAATCTGTCTCTATTTCGCAACTCCCTGATTGTGAGCCCGCCTGACATCCGCGACCCTCAGAAACACGCCCAGAAGGCGCTTTTCCCGTGATTAATGAACAATTATATTAGTTGTTTTTCACATCGACTGGGATCTTCCGAAAACCGCAGCGCGAGCCGCGACGATCCTAGGCTCCAACTTGGCCCAGAGAGATGCCTCCCAGATGCCACTCATGTTGCAGACCCAAGAGTGCCGACTGCGGAGCCAGACCGAATTCTTTCTTATCCTTCTTGTTACTAGTAATTAGCGATGGCCTCCAACCTAGTAGCTTCTTGCTACTAAATTCCACCAGGTGGAAGCTTTTGTTCGAAGGCTATGCGGCTATTCCTGCTCGATGCAGCGAACATGTGCGAATGGAAGCCATTCAGGGTGGTGTGCTCCTGCAACACCACAACCTGTCAATGGCAACCTGCACTTGGTTTCTGTTCATCTACTTGATTTTCTCTCTAAGTTCTTCTTCTCCTTCTTCTTCTATATATTATAATGCATAAATTAACGTTGATGTGCACCTTCCCTGTACTTCGCGGGGGTCTTCACAAGTTCCCTTCCGCGCCCCTCCCGGGCGGGATGGCGCAAATCGAAGTGAACACCACCGGCTTGCAAAGGAAACTGGTCATTGAAGGGGCCATCCAAGGGGCCATGCCATCCACATAACCATGATAATTCCAGGGAGTGTAGATTTGCAAGCACCGCTCACTTGACGTGGTTGCACCGGGATTTCCCTGTATGAAGGTGCAGAACCTGAAAAAAGGATCCTGAAATGATAGGTTGCGGTCGCCTGAGTGACTCTTAGTGGACGTTTGGGTGACACTGATCCATGGCTGATTAGGACATAGCTGTGGGTAACAAACAGGATACCTTGATTGACCTACCGGCCATACTTGCGATTGTTTGAGCGCGCGCCCCACAGACCTTCAGCTCAGCTGGGTTCTGGGTGTGAGTGGTACATAGCCCTTCACAGAAACACACTATATGCACGTAAAGCTACTGTACAAGTGAGACTGAATATCCGTGCGGCAGGAAAGAAGGCAAAGTCAGGACATCAAGATCTCAATTACGGTATTGGCACGGTAAGCGACACAGAAAATTGGTCGTACGATAAACTGTCACTGCTGGAATGGGTTTAAAATATGCTTGCGTGTGCATCATCGGGCTTGATCCATCAGGATGGTAAGGTGGTTTACACTGGAGATCCAATGTGTATCGATTCAAAGTCTTGTCGACCAAAGACCAGTTGGGACTTCAGGACGTAATGGGAAGCCTCCAGTGTATGTCCGGCCCCAAAATTGGTTGGAGCCTGTTTTGCTTTGGTCAGGGATAATTTTCTCGGTCAAGAACCCTTGCAAATATTGCACGATACTGCGCAAGACATCGGATTGTTCACGCAAGGACTTGAGTTTTTTGGGAAGGGCCAAAACTTTGGGATCGAGCCCCTGATGTGGTCGTGCCCGCTGTCCTTCGACCAAGTTAATCCATGTGGGCAGTTGAAGACCTGTGTTGACCCTGAAAGCGATTGCAAGCTCATGCCAAGGACATGGTATTGACCTACCTGGGAGGTCAAGCTACATGGTGTTGGGGCTCCAGGTTTTGACACATCCCCACATGGCATTCGACTGCTGGAGAACAATTTTACACACCCTCAAATGTGTAGAGAATGAGTGAGTGTGTGTGTGTGTGCGCGTGCACAAGCCCCATGGATCAGGAAAGATTGCTGCGATCTCTTGCTGCTCCTTGCCAAGGAGAGAGGAGGTGCAACAGATCCTGTGCATGCAAGCGTGTACTCATCTGATCTGGCTGGGTTGGACCCCAAATTGCCGCAAATCTGCAGCAACGTGAACCCTCCGGTGAACCCCGGGCTTAGCTTTTAGGGTATTCTTTCTCTTGGGTTTCTATTCTCCCAGCAAGGTTTGACCTTGAACTGAAACAACTCCTCCAGGCGATGCCAGGAGTCATCAGTGTGTTTTGCATATTTTGCATCGTCACGTCCAAGACGTCGTCGTACGTGGTCATGTATCAGGAGGAATCATGTATGTGGTCATCGCCATTAGGTTGGAGGCCATCGCTATGATCCTCAAACGGGGCTCAAGTTGTTGCTACCTGTCACGTGTGCTGGGCAATGATGCTGAAGATGGGGCCACCGGCGAGCGCAGCCGAGGATGAAGATCTTTCCAGCATCGCTCTAGGCTTCACCAGTGGGTACGAGAAGATCAGAGCCATGGCCTTGGCGAGTGGAGGGTCTAGGAAGTTCGTTCTGAGGATCACCTTAGAGTCCATGGCAAACTGAATATGGTACACAAGGAAAACGACACAGACTGGTTCGCATGCTGGGGTGTTGTGCGCTTCACGTGTTTGTGTGTGTGTGTGTGTGTCAAACCCTGTCCCTAAGGGCTTTCCTTGTTTTCAAAGCAGGGGCGTACTGCTCGTCATACCCACCGTACGCAATGAAGCTCGGTATGACGAGGGAGGGGTGGACTGATCATCCACCTGTACCTGCTTCAACGGGTGAGTACGCTACGCTGTTCCAATCCTTCTTTTTTGATTCCATGGTGGTTCATGATACGTCCCCCAAACCCTTTTTTCCCACCGCCGCTTTG